AGCCTCCTGAGCTGCTGGGATTACAGGCGTATGCAACTGTGCCTGGCTGAAAGTTTTTAATTTTGATGACATCTACTTTATCCATATTTTCTTTTGTTGCTTGTATTTTTGGTCTCATATCTAAGAAACCTAATTCAAGGTCACTAAGATTTACCACTACATTTTCTTTTAAGAGTTTTATAGTTTTAATTTGGACTTTGATTCATTTTGAGTTAAATTTTATATATAGTATAAGGGAGGTAACTCAACTTCATTCTTTTGCATGTCAGTTGTCCAGCACCATTTGTTGAAAAAAAAAATACTATTTGTCCTCCATTGAATTCTCTTGGCAACCTTGTCAAAATTCAACTGAACAAAATAGTGATAGTTGCTTTCTAGACACTTCAATACTACTTTGAGGGAGATATTACCTTATGTAGCATAAGGAAAGATCTCTTTAAGGTAACATTTAAGCATAATCCTGGATGTAGTGAAGTATATTCAATTATAGGGAAAGAGCATTCTAAGTAATGAGAACAGCAAGTGCAGAGAATCTAAGGTAGGAATGAGCCTGGTGTATATGAAGAGTATGGCAAGGAGGCCAGTGTAGCTGGAGTAGAGTGGGCAAGGATAGGTCAAAGTGATAAGAAAGGAGAGCTGGTATAACCATAAGGACTTTGCCTTTTACCCTATATGAGATGAGAAGCCACTGGGGGCTTTTGATGAAAAGAGTCATGATTCACTTATTTTTTAGAAGATTTACTTCAGTTGCTGTATGAACCTCTTAAAGTACAGGGAAGAAAGGTTATAGGAGAGACCACTGGGAAGGTTATGGAAAAAATCAAGGCAAAAGATGACAGTAGGATATTAGTGGTGGGGTTTATAAGAAATGATATTTTTTCAAGTATAGATGTGAGAAAAAGGAAAAAAGAGTGAACAGTAACAATTTTTTGGCCTGAACAACTAAAAGTTTTAGTTGCTTTTTACTAACATATGGATGACAGTAGGAATAGAAGGTTTAGAGGTCTGTGTAGAGAAATATGGAGTTCAGTATTAAACATGTTTAAGTCTGGGTTATTATTAGGCAATAAAATATGACAAGCAATTTGATATGCAGACCAGGATGTGGAAGAGATGTTAGCTATCCTCATTAAAGCTTTGGGAATGAATGATATTAGTACTATCAGTAGAAGAGAGAAGTCGTCTCCTAGGACCCTGAGCCCTGGGGCATTCTAATGAGATTAGTGAGGTGGAAAGGAACTGACAAATAGGCCTGAAAAAGAAAAACCTGATATCCTTGAAACCAAATGAAGAGAATATCTGGATAAATGACATCTTAGCTGCTGCTAAGTTGAGGGCTAAGAACTTCAGATTTGGCAATTCAGAACTATTTGATAACTTGAAAAGTTTTTGTGTAATGATGGGGAAGACTTTACATAGTTTCAAGGAGAATGAAAAGGAAGGAAGTAGAGACAGAGTACAAACTCTTTACGGGGTTTAATTAAAAGAGGTAGGGCACAGAAATGTAGCTGGGGGATGAAACTTTTTAATTTGTTTAAGTTGGTGACAATCTTA